CAGTCTGTTGCCCAGCTGCTTCTTATTCCTCAGGCCTGGCTAATAGAGTGTGGAAACAGGATACTCAGATAATCTGGCTCAACTACTTTACTGCACCACATCTTTATGTGCCTGTGTGAACTGAGAAAACATAGGGGTGGTCTCCACATCTGGAGGGACCTTACTGTCAGTAAAGAGTGTAAATGTTGTTTTTACCGCATGCTCTGTTAAATAGATTCAAGTTTTCCAAAGCTTTTCTAGCCTAATGTTTTTAAACCATCTACTCTACAACCTTTTAGTCATGTAGCCACATATATACTGTCCATATCAGTAAATTGTGCACTGATAGATGTCTATTTTGCTCTTAATTCATACCTTGATCTCTTTTCCTTTGCGCGGATCGGAGTGATCCACTTCCTCTACAACTGCCTTCTCACTGACTGCGGATAGCTTATGTCGCTGGGAAACCAGCTCCTGCTTGAACTCCTCTTGGGTTTTAGTGTCCAAAAGCCTTTGTCTGAAGGAAATGTCAGAGAACATTGTTGCGAATGTTCTGCCCAGTTCAATGGCTGTCTTGGTGCTTTTCTGAAAAACATAACGAAAAAGTAAACAGATTAAACCAGAGTGTGCATATACGTCAGCCCTGTGTAGACATAGTTAGGTGTCTTGTCCAGGAAGTATGCAGCCCTACCCCCCACCAAACTCTCTATCATTTTAATTTCACTTTGCTTGAATTGGAGGATCCCCCCGCAACCCCATTAGGGGATAAGCCGTTACCATAATGGATGGATGGATGAATGAATTGGAGGAACAGAAATTCTTAAAAGTATATTCCAACTCTTACCGTCCTGGGTGGAGCGAGGATGAGGATGACGTAGCGAGCCTCGCAGCAGTTGACTCCCCAGTTTTGGGGTCTCTCCAGACGGGTGACACAGACATGGCGTCTCTGAAGGTTCCTCACATTGGAGCTGGATTAACACATAATTTTATTATAAATTTAAACTAAAAGGTTGTTTTTTTTCCTCTTCTGATGAACGAACCACCAATATCATCCTGATTCCATGACAATTTATTTGATGAAAAATATTGATTCGAGTCTAGAACAACAAAGCAATTGCAGGTGTACTCACAGAATGCAAAGCCAGGATTGTTGATAATGAATGCCAGTTGAAGTTGAAGTCACCCCCTGAATGGTCTCTGTAAGAAGGTGAACTGCAGAAACCCATTGATACAAATATTAATCTCCGAAAGTTTTCCAGTTAATTTTTCAACCAGTCATTCATTCTAAAATAATTTCTTTTTGAAAACATGCTTCACTCACCATTAATATCTTTCCCTCCTGCATCTGTGAAAAGAGAAGCCATGACCTCCTCAACATCACAGCTGCCGTGACCTTCCTCCGTCATGTGCGCTATCATTCGCCTCAGGACTTCATCGAGAGTGCTGGCTTTTTCATCCAAGAGGATGCTTGCTTGGGCCAGGAAGCTGTCCAGGTCTCTGTGGGCTCGAACTTCATCCTGGAAGTTCATGGGCTTCACATACTGGTGGGAGCAAAATGAGCCAACAGATTTACTGGGACTTCAAACACATTGAATAAATTCGTACATACATGTATAAATAAATATACCCAGATAGACAGATGTTTTCTTTATTATTTATTTTAGTATGAAACACTGCTGATATTATATATTATATATATCAAATCGGTACAATGTAGGCCTACATCACAGCTCAATGTGAGCATGGTCAGAATCTTCTTGCAGTCTTTTCTTAACAAATGTCTTCAACAATTAATTTGACTACAGTCTCCAATTATGTTATTCGAATAGTTTTGAAGAAAATGCCTGAAGGGGATTTTCTTCTAATAACTTAATATATTGATGGATTCTTGACAGAAAATAGAAGATTTATTTTTTGTTTGCCATAGAAGAAGGAATTGATCCAAATGCCGGCAAGCAACGAAAAACAGGAGGAACTCTATTATAAGGAATCGCATATACAAGACGAAAACTGTATCAAACACTTTGAGAAGTAACATACAGTCTTTTCAATCCTTGCCAGGATCGAAAACACTTAGAAGCATATATATAGAAGGGAGTGTGATCGGCGAATGAAGAACAGGTGACCCAGGGACCATATGGGACGAGAGTTGAATTGATAAAGAAACACTGAAGAGAAGTGAATGAAAAAGGGAGACGCAAAAAAGACGCAAGTGGAGGGCACAGGAAGCTGAAAAATGCACCAAAGTAAAACACAAGTAACAATAAAAAAGGACTAAACCTAACCCAGGAAACGACCAGAACGTAACCAAAATCCAGGAAACTCAAAATTTGGACAAACTGTAGATACTTTGAAAGTATATTAACTCGTAAACATGCAAAAGAACAAGTTCTTACTTTTCTTGTTGTATTTAAAAGCCCAAATCCACATCCCTCAGTATCTGCACCAAACAAAAAACAACATTGAATAAAGTTATCTTTTCGGATTGTTGTCTTGAGCATCAGATATTCACTCTCACTTGTTTTTTCAGTGTAGAGTATATATCTGGGGTAAATCTCAATTAAAATAATTAATATTAATAAAATTAATTAATTATTTTGACCTGAGTCACTGAATCTTAGCAGTCACCGGTTACTTTTTCAAATGACCTAAAACAATGGATATTAACACAAATTCCCCATGAATGCATGGACATTTTAACTACACACCTGGAACACTGACAGGACTGTCATACACGTGGTCCTTGTCACTGTTGGAGGAGTCCTTCTCGCCGTCCTGCAGCTCTGAGAATAAAAGGAGCCACCGTCTATTTATTCACATACCATGCTGTTGTTTCATTAGAGCAAAAGTTTCATTGTG